CCACTGTAGTTTAGCTCTACAGAAGTAGCATAAAGAAAGTAATGTTTATTAAGTGTCAGCTCATCTGAAATGCAGCGTTTCTATCAGCTCGACAAACATCAGCAAACATACAAACTCTTTGTGTCACAGTGTGTTGCAGCTAAAGGCCCAGCTGGTGTATCTGACAGGGAGGGAAAACACAGAGAGCCAAGTTCACTCAGAGATGGAGAGAGATAAGAAAGAAGGAGAGGAAGAAGAGCTCAGAGTTAAAGGAAGGATGCTCATTTAAAGCTCACATGGAAGTCCTCATGTTTTCAAATCTGTACACGTCACATGATGTTTGTTCTGCTGCTAAACAAACTGAGGCAGACTAACTGCAGGTTGGTGCAGGATAAACAGATGAGTTTGCTGTTGCTGTACTCAAAGTCCATCTCTACAAGCAACAGAAAATAGTTATTAAAATTTAGACTGAAATAAAGTTTGTATTCGTTAGCTTTGCATACTTATAGGCGATAATAATGTTCTTTAAGGAGCTACTTTTACTTTCTTACTTTAAATACATTTCAGAGTCGGTACTTTTTCACTTTTACTGGAGTAAAAGAGTACTTTAACTTTTACTGGAGTATTTTTCTACACTAGTATCTCCTCCTTTTCTTTTACACGGCAAGGTTTTTTCTCTACACAGTTCATCACACAGAAGCACCACCTTTCTCCAAAGGAACATGAGCATCATTTGGTGTCCAAGTGGGATTGCTCCACAAACTGAGCACAGCATGTGTTTGCAGGCCAAGAAGCCAAACTCGGCCATGGCCCGGTAGATTAGCCGATCTCAGTGAACCCGAAGGCTGATGATAAGCTCATATAAGACGTGCTTTGTGAGCTTCTTTGGCTCACAGACGAGATTATCAACAATCCAGATTATTCTTTCATAATATATCTGACAGCCAGTCAATGTCATCTATGTTGTCACTGATGCCTGCTTTGGGATATGAACATCCATCTTCCAGCTCGGTGACACTGGCCGGTTGGGCTACACCTTGGGCAGGTCAGCAGTCCATCACAGGCAGACTGACAATGCTCACAACCAGTTTAGATTATTTAACCCAACATGCACGTCTTTGGACTGCGTGAAGAAACCGGCCAGTGGAGAACAAGGAAAGTCCAGATAGAAAAGAAGACTGCTCCACCATGTCATCATTTACAAACACAATCTGATGTTAGGGTAACTCTAATAAGCAGCCGCCCACATGGTTACATCTCCATGCACCATGTTCCTCACCGTGACTCGTTGGACTCGAGCTTTGCCGAACTCGGCGTTCTTCTCCCACTGAAGCGGCAGCAGCAGCCAGAGGCCGACTCGGGATCCCAGGACCTGCAGATATTCCCCCTCTCCTGCACGGAAACAGCAGATCGAGATGGAAGAACCAAACTCACATGCTTCTGAAACGGCAGAGCTAATGATAAGTGAATGCAGCAGTCGAGGGCAGGCTGGTGCACAGTTTACACAGCATCGCACAGTAAGTGGCTACTCCTGCAGTGCAGACTGGACTGTCTCAGCAGCAGCTTCACTCACAGACTTTAATCTGTCATCATGACTTTTCTGCATCAACATTTGTAAAGGCTTTCCTTTTCCTTTCCGTCGGCCGGCTGCTGCCGTGAGTCTGCAGCCGACCAGAGCCCTGGAGGAAAGAGTGTCCTGTCATCACTCCCGTTTTCATGGAGGAAACTCTCGAAGTGCAGAGACACTTCTTCCCCCTCTGCCGCAGTTTCCTGGTATTAACACAAAAGCCACTCAGCTGGAGTGCTGGATGTGTGCGTGCTGTTCTGGTCAATCACAGAATATTATCAGCACTGTTACCGTTTACATGCTTTATGCCTCATTTCCAGAAGAGAAAGACTCTAATCCGGCTCAAAGGATGGAAAATGTGAAGGAGGGCATCGATTTTCAGCTCGTCCTGCTGGTAAAGACCTCCCACATCGTCATTCCTACTACACCGAAGTAATTCAGTAATAGGCGAACAGCTAAACAACAGAGAAGTTCCTGTTTCTCACCATGCACGACAAAAATTCTTCCCTGTTTTGTTTTGTTGGTAGTATTTTGTTGTTTTTTCCCCACATTTTAAATTAAGAACATTTCTATGAATTAACATCAACTTTCTGTAACTGCAGGACAGTCTGAGCAAAACCTTATTTTATTTTACACATTCATTTCTTATCATTTTCTCATTTGCACTGACAGAAAGAGCAGTTTGGTCTGGTCGCACCTTAAATGCTGGCAGTGAATAATTAGTAAGTAATTAGGGAGCATTGCAGGCCCCTGATTACTCCTGCAGAGGTCACACCCACTCACAGATACTGGAGGACCAGCGAGTCCTGCCATGAATAGTATAACAGAGCCCTGACCTTCATCT